GCTTCGGCGGGGCTCGGGGGGCACTTTACGTCCCGAGGCGCTGAACCTTGAGGCCTGAAATATCATGCTCAGGGACTTTGAACTTGAGAGAAAAAAGAAGAGTGAGGACGAGGAAAAAAAAGGATGAAACCCGGCAACCAGTCTACGCGCGCAATGCTCGAGGCTCGTTGTCGGGTTTTGCCCTTTTCTTTTTTTATCCCTCACCCGAAGAAGGGAGAGGAGGAGAACACACAACCCCAACATCCCAAGGCGGGCGGCCAACTTGTCAGCGCCTTGTGCGCAACAAGAAGAGAGAGGGGTGGGGTTGCCCCCGGGGATGTTTCACTTATAAAATGAGCGGGGTTGGGAATAGTGGAAAACTCTTGCTTTCCCTACTTCAACGCTGAGTAAGATGGGTTTGAAAGGTATTCCGCAAAGATGACCCTTCCCCGTTCCCCTCATGACATGGTGTGGCCATCCAACCGCACCTTTTTTGCTCGGTGGCACGCGGCACCATGAACAAAGAACAAGAAAGTGTGGTGAGTCCCTTCCTTCCCTATGATAAAAGGCAAAATGTACCATGATGGTGATGTTGAGGCGTTCCGCTACTGCCATGTGTAGTGTGAAAAGGAGACCCATGGGAAATGCAGAAAAGGAAAAATAAGCACAATAAGAAAACACTCCCCCATAAGAACACATTCCCCCATAAGAACACATTCCCCCATAAGAACATTTCGTCCCATAGGTATTTTGGTTTTTTGAGACCCCACCGCCTACCCCACCACAACAATGTGTGAAGTATGTTTGGCTTTTCCCTGGGAGATGGAAGTGCGTAAGCTGGGCGCCGCGATTGGACAGCCCTCATTGCCAAAGGCGAGCCGTGATTGGCATCAGAGGTCCGCGGCAACCCACCCCAAGATGTTGGCAAAAAAAAAAGTTGAGGAGGGTACGGCACCCCGGGTTCCAGCGCCATCACTGATCGCCGTACTAACGAGGCCTGTGGCCGCTTAACTTCACAAATCGGACGGGATATGGTGCATTCGGCCAAGTATGGTCGTACCCGATATACCCGCAATAGAACATATTATGTCCCCGGGGTGCCCTTCCCAGCCCCACCTCCAGGGGCGAATTTTCAGTTTTGCGAGTGCCGTGCGTTTCCAGCCTCCGTGCTCTACTGGGCCTCGTTACGGTTGTATTGGGGCACATTTTCGCACACAAGCT